TTCTATTTCCATGAAGAATGTTATTGGGATTCTGATTGGGATTGCATTGAACCTATAGATTGCTTTAGGTAGTACGGACATTTTAACTATGTTTATTCTTCTAATCTGTGTTCATGGGATGTCTTTGCATTTCTTTATGTCATAATCGATTTCTTCCACTAATGTCTTATAGTTTTCATTGTATATGTCTTTCACCTCCTTGATATTTTATTCTTTTTGTTGCGATTGTAAATGGGATTGTCTCCTTGAGTTCTCTTTCTGTTAGTTCATTATTAGAGTACAGAAATGCAACTGATTTTTGTAAGTTGATTTTGTACCCTGCAACTTTGCTGTAGTTGTTAATTATTTCTAATAGTTTTCCGATGGATTCTTTAGGGTTTTCTGTATATAAAATCATGTCGTCTGCAAACAGCAAGAGTTTCACTTCTTCGTTGCCCATTTGGATTCCTTTTTTTCCTTTTTCTTGCCTAATTGCTCCGGCCGCAATCTCCAGTACCATGCTGAGTAAGAGTGGTGAGAGTGAGTACCCTTGTCTTGTTCCTGTTCTCAGAGGAATGGCTTTCAGTTTTTCCCCATTGAGTATGATGTTGGCTGTGGATTTGTCATATGTGGCCCTTATTAGGTTGAGGTACTTTCAAAGGAGGAATTTTTTTTTTTTTTTTTTTTGTGAGGGGAACTAGCCCTGAGCTAACATCTGATGCCAATCCTCCCCTGTTTTCTTGAGGAAGATTGGCCCTGGGCTGACATCCATACCCATCTTCCCCTACTTTATATGGGACGCCGCCACAGCATCGCTTAACAAGCGGTGCGTTGGTGCGTGCCTGGGATCAGAACCGGCGAACCCCGGGCCACCGAAGGGGAGTGCGCACACCTAACCGCCTGCGCTACCGGGCCAGCCCCCAAAGGAAGAATTTTTAAAGGAGGACATGACCAGAGAGAGTAGAAGGTGAGGAAGGAGAGATGAGTGTGGATTTCAAGGAGTCTGGCTGTAAAGGGAATCAAGGTCTAAGGCAGCAACTAGAAAAGCATGCGGTTGTACCAGAGGGAGAAACTTATGTGCATTATGAGGTGGAAACACTGATTGTTCTGCAACCCCTGGCTGGAACACTAGTCATAGTTAGGGAAGTAGTAGGAGAAAAAACTGAAAAGGTGAGTCAAGGCCATATTTTAGAGGGCCCTGAAAACCATTTAGGTGAGTTTTCATTTATTTCAGTAGGCATTGGGGAGCCACTAAAGATTTGTGAACAGAAAGTGCCTAATCATAGTTATGTTTGAAGAATATTCATCTGGCATTTGCTGGAATTGGAGGAGAGTCTAAAGCCAGAGATGTCAATTAGCAGGCTATTGCAGTAAAATCATAAGGAAGGGATGGATACAGAGAAATCAGTGGATTTGGTGTAATGGTCTCATCTCTAGAGCAGGGGGTTTGTGTTGCAGGGGATGTTATATACTTATAGTTCAATGTGAATGGTGTTCCCTGAGCTATAAACCAGACTCTAGTATTGGTTCTGCTGATTGGAAGAATAGGTTGATATTTTCAGAAATGGGGAAGTTAGGAGGAGATACTGGTTGACCAGAGGAAACTAAATGCGGTTCCTTTGTCTTAGCAACATGACTTCTATATATGTCCACTATTTCTCTCAAGGCCCAGGTCAGTATTCATTTTTTTTAAACTTTCATTAAGAACATTCTTCTCAAATTGGTCATTTTGCTTTCACATAATCCTAGACCTTAAATAAATTTTTTATACTTATTTTCTGATTGTTTTCCGGTATGTTCAGTTTTATTCCATCTTGATAAAGACCTCCTTGAGGGCTGTGGCCATGTCTTTTCTTTTTTCCTGTCTAGTGCTTTGGTCAGCCTGCAGTGTATGATCAATAAATGTTTATTAGATGAATGAATATTACTTTATTTTCCCCATTCCATAGCTTTGCTGTTTTATAAAACCATACTAGTTCACATTTATACTCTGGCCTCAGATTCTTCTAGTTTCTTTTGAGTTTGATGTCAAGGAATGTCTTGGAAGGATCTCATTGTTCTCCTTAGTATTAATTACAAAAGTTATCTGCTGAAATGTTGTTTTTCCTTGGTAATCTGTATGAAGCAATAACATCCACAAATTTTTCTAAACTCTTCCTCTTTTACCATCACCTAGGATGATGGGTTCCTTTTGTTTCCTCTATGACTTAACAACATAAAGTAATGTACTGTCTTTTATTTGCACAAGTTCATTCTTCTGTACATGTTGATTTTTAATCTTTTTAAGAGCCCCAGTTTTTTAATCCTTGTTTTTTAAAAATTAACGTCAAAAGTAATCATGCAGATTATAACAAACTATGAAGTAAAAAATGAAACTCCGGGTCCGGCCCAGTGGCGCAAGTGGTTGAGTGCGCGCACTCTGCTGCGGTGGCCCAGGGTTCACCAGTTCAGATCCCAGGCGCACACCGGCACACTGCTTGTCAAGCCATGCTGTGGCAGCATCCCATGTAAAGTGGAGGAAGGTGGGCACGGATGTTAGCCCAGGGCCAGTCTTCCTCAGCAAAAAAAGAGGAGGATTGGCAGATGTTAGCACAGGGGTGATCTCGTCACACACACACACAACAAAAATGAAAATCCTTCCGTCCCATTCCTCAGAGATCACCACTGTTAGCAATATATTTCCAGATATTATTTTTTGGCCCGACCGTATATATATACATTTAAAAAACAACCACCAAAAAACCTAGGGTAACAGTATACATGAAATTTTGCATTTTGCTTTTTTTGTTTTTCATAATAATTTATTTAATTAATACTTACTGAAAGACAATTTCTAATTTTTTGCTATTAAAACAACATGCTGCAGTTAAAACCCTTGTATGTGTGTCTTTATACATTTATGCTAGTATATTTGTAGGCTAGATTACTAGAAATGGGATTGTCTTGGGGTATTTAAAATTTTTAATGGTTCTGGCAAATTGCCTTCTGAAAAAGTATAACAGTTTATATTCTCTCCAAGAGTACAATTTTACTACACCCTCATCTATATTAATGCTCTTGTTTCATCGTAATTTTAGTAACCCACGTCTTCTTGATTATTTAAGTGAATAACTAGTGTTGAAAATTAGAGGCTAAGCTTTTTCATTCTTCTTTAACATTGTGGTATTTTCATGGGTGGTAAGAACAAACTCAGAAAAGAGAAATCAGGTAATGCTGATGTTCATAGGCTATGTCCTAGGTGACTCTTCTGTCTTTTCCAGCTTGAAATACCTCTGGACGCCTTACGTGTGCATGCTGGCGGCATTTGGTGTGTGTTCTCCTGAACTTTGGATGACGCTTTTCAAGTGGCTTCGCTTGCGAACTGTACACCCAGTATTGTTGGTGAGTCACTGTTATTTTGTGTTAAATACTTGTTTCTCTTCCAGGTATGTAAATGGAAACCACATTGAATACAATTGAAATAGCATGACTAAATCACAGTATGACTTACAGGTAGAAAAAGAGATCCTGTGGAAAACTTTTTTTTTTTTCTCATTATAAAAGTAATGCATTTCAATGCTGACAAAAAAAATAAAAGGTAAAAATAAAGGGAATCAATAATGTGAGAGGCTATCAAGAATTAATTTTTATAACATCTTTGTTGGTTTGATTTAAAACTGTGATATGTTTTCAACGTGAATAGAATATTTTCACTGTGCCTGCTATGTGCAATGTGCTTAGAATACAAAGGTAAATAAAACATGATTAATTTCATCAAGTAGATTACAGTCTCCTGATCAAAAAAACAGATAATAAGAAGTATTAATAGGGTGCTGTTGAAACACAGAGAAGGGCTACTTAATTCAGCTTTTTTAGGGATTCAAAGAAGACTTTCCAAACTGAGATTTGAAAGATGATGAGTTATTAGTCAAATAAAGGGGAAAAAAGGGTATTCATGGTAGAAGGAATAAACACAGGTAGGCAAAGAACACAATGTAATCAAAGTAAAAACAGAGGCAAAGATGAAGTGTGATATATTTAGTTTTGTTGGCACATAAAATGTGAGATGAGGTGTTCAAGAAATGAGACTGGAGAAGTCAAGGACGGTAAGGTCACGGAGGCCTCTCAGTGGCATGTGGAGGCAGTAGGAAGGCGCTGAGATGTTATGCGGGGGCGTGAGAGAGTCAGACTTACATTTTCTCTCAGCTCACCTTTCAGTTCTGTGAAGGATAGGCTTAAGGGTGACAGACTCGAGCCAGGAAGGAGGCTGTCACCCAGGTGCAGGCCATGGTGGATGGAAGTGATAAAAGCTTCAGTTTATTGAGGGCTCACTATGCGTCAGGTACTGTTTGAAGCATTTCGCATGCTATTTATGCTTACAAGGACCCTATTGGCTAAGTTTTATTATCTGTATTTTATAGACAAAGAAACTAAGGCTTAAACTGGTTAAATAACTTGCCTGAGATTACATAGCTTATAAGAGTAGAAACCATGATTCATACCCAGGTTTTTCTGACTCCAAAGCCCATTCAATTAATATTATGCTATACTGGAGTGAAAAAAATAGTTAGAAAAGAAGATTAATAAGACTTAGTGCTTGGGACTAAGTATGGGAGAATGAGGAAGAGGGAGGAATCATAGATGTTTCTTGGGTTTCTGGTTTGTATGACTATGGATCCTGGAGTCACCGACAGACATGGGACAGTAGGAAGAAGAACAGGTTTTAGCAGGAAGATGATGAATAATTATCTTTAATAATAGTCATGTGGTATTTTGGCAGTCTTTTTCCAGAGGAATTTATATGTTCTTATTTTAGCATGCTAGTATATTGATATATATTAATTCATTGTCTTTATGTTGTTGTTGTTCTTAGCTTTTTAGGTAGCAGTTCCGTGTCCTTTGTAAGCTCTTCATAACTTAAGTTCCTGGCAAAATTGTCAAATATTGATTTTCTATTTGAAATATTACTATGAGTGTTACCTTTTTTATGTTCTGCTTTAAATTTGAATAGTAAATATGTATGTCTCACTTTACCTTCAGCATAATTTGTCTTAAATTCGTTAGTCTTCACCCATCTCACTCTGTGAACTAGGTTCCGTGCTGACGTCAATTTCTCTGACTGAAATTATTATAATTATAAGAATCTGTGATTGATCATAAAGTCAGTGTCTAGTACCTCTAAAGTACATTATTATTATTATTATTATTTTTGGTGAGGAAGGTTGGCCCTGGGCTAACATCTGTTGCCAATCTTCCTCTTTTTGCTTGAGGAAGGTTGTCTCTGAGCTAACATCCTTGCCAATCTTCCTCTATTTTGTATGTGGGACGCTGCCACAGCATGGCTTGACAAGTGGTGTGTAGGTCCGCGCCTGGGATCCAGGCCTGCAAACCCCAGGCTGCTGGAGTGGAGCATGCAAACTTAACCACCATGCTACCAGGCCAGCCCCTAAAGTACATTCTGGAATGTATTTATCCATAACCATTTTTGTTTTAATATTTTAGGCTCTTATTCTGAGCATGGCTGTGCCCACTATAATAGGTCTCAGCTTATGGAAAGAGGTAAGAAAATCAGATTTTTATATTATTAAAATGTACTTTATCTACAATGTACTGATAAATTTATATATGTGTGCAGTATACTTATATTGAGACACTATTCTAACAAAATAAAGTGTGATATTCTTAGGAACTTTTTTTTTCTCATTACGAACATGATAGAAGAGCTAAAACCTTTTTAGAATGCCATCTGATGCAATTTTCTGTAGTCTAATGCTATTATTAATTCGATTTATAATTGGCAAAAGAAATTGCTGAATAAATAAATGTTAATATTAGAAAGTATTTTGGCAACTCCAAAATTTAAATATTTATAAAATAATATAAATTCTTTGGCTTATCATAATGTAACATGGAACTAATTGCCAATAAATCTGTGAATTATTTGACCTGATATTTATTTATTTATTTTTAGTATGTATGAACATGAAAGATACAACTGATGATTAATTGTTTGGTAATGGTAAAATTATTTATTGAGTTTAGGCAGTAAATTAACCATAAAATAGATTATTTAGAATATTTGGACCAAGAAGAATGAGCAGGTCACTGAAAGAAAGTAAATAGATCCATAACATTTTTTCCATGAGAACAGTATTGTAATATTGCTTGCCTTAAGGTAGTCTCTTAGGTTTTTGAAATACTCTAGAACAGTTTTAAACTTATACACACTTTTTGGGAATTTTGTTTGCATTTTAGTTTTTTCCAAGATTAATGACAGAATTAACGGAACTTCAAGAATTTTATGACCCAGATACAGTGGAACTTATGACCTGGATAAAGTAAGAATTGAACTGCCCAAGACTGTTTTTAAGCTATTAATTAATCATTGCGTGCTATCTAATGGATTCAGGGGAAATAATAAATTAATGCTTTTCCAATTTCTTCTCATAAAACTCAGGAATTTTACCCTGTGTTTTTACGGGTATTTAGTTTTTGATTGGATTTATAATTCTAATTTTCTAATTGAACTCTTCTCTGTTTAAAATATAGCATTAATAAGTTTGAAATTTGAGACTCTCTGCATCAAACACTTAGAAATGTGGAATAAAAAGGGACAAATATCCTTTTATTTAAATAATCAAGAGGATGTTTCTTTTGCCCTGGGTTGGAGGTGGGTGAGTGGTGGATTGCTCGTCTCGGTAACCAAGGTTAATTTTATTAATTAATTTTAATACCCACACAGATTTTAATGCCCACGCAGGATGGGAGATGTGGTCTTGGACTTACAGAAGCAGGGAATTGTAATTGAGACACCGTTTTCCCTCCTCCAACACACGCATATATAACTAAGGGACCCGGAAAGGGCTGCACTATCAGTGAAAGGATGGACTAGCAAAATATCCCTCAAGAGTAGAGAAAGATGATAAGAAAGCCTGTCTTTCCTTGGTCTCAGCTCTTGGTCCAAAAAAAAAGTCTCTCTGAATTTGTAGCAATGGATCTGAATTCGCGTGAGTTTGTAGTTTGAAATTACTCTTATCTAATCCAGGAAGCCCCAAATCAAGAAATTAGCATAAAAAATGGCCCTGGAGTGGTCTGGAGTGCCTGATATATCCTCAGCCCAGGCTACACAAGATTCCACAAATAAAGCTTCATCAAGATGAGCTCTAAAATTACAAAACACTTGAGGAAACAGTCTAACACAGCAAGCATCAGCTGTTGTCTGTGATGAACAGCAGAACTACACCTCCAGCAATTTCTGATAATAAAATTTGTATCAGTTGGTTTTTGCTGCATAACAGACTACTGCAAAACTTAGTGGCTTACAAACGAGAAGCGTTTGTTATTTTGCACCATTTTGAGGGTCAGCTGAGTGGGGGCAGTGGAGAGGATTCTTCTGGTCTCGGCCAGCTCAGCTGGGACTGGATAGTTTGGCATAGCCTCTCACATGTCTAAGGTTGGGTAGGTGTCAGCCGAGGGGATGAAACTGACTTGGCCATGTGCCCCTCATCATCCAGCCCAGATTAGCCTGGGCTTCTTCCCAAGGTTGCGGTTGTAGAGTTCCCAAGAACAGCAGAAGAGGATAAGTCTCAGTGTCAAACGTGTTCTAAGTCTCTGCTCACGTTATGTTTGCTGTTGTTCTGTTGGCCAGAACAAGTCACATGACCAGGACAAGTGTTCCTCCCAAGAGCATAGCTATAGGGAGAAGACTCATTGCAGCCATTTTTGCGATGGCTAGAGACTAACAAATAACTACATTGAAAATTATTCAAGACATAGGAGAAGAAACTAAAACATGAAAGAGGAATGAAACACTATCAAAAAAGGCTGAGAAAATAGGGGAAAAAAAGACAAAAAGTGTTTCTAGAAACAACCAATAGGTTTATAGAATAGGTATATAAAAATGAGAATATACTATATATTTATTTACTATAAGGTCTTGTTACTGTAATGAATTTACTATAAGGTCTTGTTACTGTAATGACACCCCTCATATGTATAAAAACTGTTTTTTTAGATCACCCTTAACTATTGCCCGTTAATACTTTTTGTGAATTATATTTCCCATTGTGGAACACTGACTATGTAGCTTTGTGTTGTCATTAACAAAAGAGGGAGTTACATCTGAGTGTGTGATTTACCACAATATTTTCAAAAGCAGCAAAGGCCTGAACATTGGACATTGTACATCAGACAATTGGATATTTATGTTACTGTAGTGTAATTATTCTGTTTCATGTTTGTTTCCCCATTAATGAATACTGCCTGAGGACAATGGCTGTGTACCATCTTTTTATTTCCAGAGCTTGACACTATCCCTAGCATGTAGTAGGGGGTTGCTGAATGTTGAGTACAGGGAGTGAACAAATAAATGAAGGCATTGGAGCAGCCCTTTGGGACCTGCTTCTAGGTTTCCTAGTCTTGTAAGTGGCATCTATCTGGGGCTTTGGATCATGGTTCAGAGTATCACCATTGGGTTGACCACACTATATAAAATAGTATATTCCATTACCCTGCATTATTTTTTAATAGCATTATTACCACCTGACCTATTTGTTTGTTGTCTTCCCTCTGCTCCCTCTCAAAAGCAGAGATCTTGTCTCCACCACCCCCTTTAAAAAATTTCTGTATCTTCAGCCCAGGAGATAGTTCCTGGCACATAGTAGGTGCTCAGTTTTTTTTTTTAATGAATCCATTAATGAAATGAATTGAAAGCTGACATTGAAACTCAAGTGTACAATACATTGTAAGTTGCTTGGTATTTCAGAGTTGATATAGATCAGTGATCTAAATAGTATACTTACCTTTTCAATGTGTAAATCTTGATGGTTCTTTGCAGAAGGCAAGCTCCCGTTGCAGCTGTGTTTGCAGGGAGTCCACAGTTAATGGGTGCGATTAAATTATGCACTGGATGGATGGTGACAAGCTTGCCTCTTTATAATGATGATGATCTTCTCAAGAGAAATGAAAATGTAAGGCATTTTAGATTTACGTTTGAATCTTTTTTATGTCACTCTTTAGTACAGTTCTGTAGTGATGCCTGTGTTCCTGGTTAGCTAGGAAAATCCAAACAATTTTTGAAGAGTTATTTAGCTTTAGTTTTTCAAAAGCTGTATAATACATTTAACCAAGAGGAGAGCCAAAATCAAGATATTAAGTTCTTTGTTTTATAAATAGTGTTGATATGTTTCTAGGAGAAACACTTAATTTTCCCCAAAGGTTCAAGGGAACTGATGTGTAATATTTCACAAAGAGAAACATTCTTTTTGAAAATACCATTGTTCTCAATCAAATTATTGAAGGAAGGCTGTTAATTAATGTCTTGATACACTTTGTATTTCTAAGGTAAAATTCTATTTCATTGTGATTTATTTTTCAGTATGGGCTGTTATTAGTAACTTAGTATAACATTAGAATGGTACCTAATTACTTATTGTTCAGAGAATATATTATTTTGAATGTTTGGTATGGATTTAAATGGTAACTCCATATATGGAGGCAAAGACCAACTGAATCTGAATTCTATATATTCTATTTTTCAATTTAAAAGAATTTCATATAGGTTTTTTTTGTGTGTGTGTGTGAGGAAGATCAGCCCTGAACTAACATCCATTGCCAATCCTCCTCTTTTTTGCTGAGGAAGATGGGCCCTGGGCTAACATCCGTGCCCATCTTCCTCACTTTATATGGGACGCCGCCACAGCATGGCTTGATAAGCAGTGTGTCGGTGCGCGCCTGGGATCTGAACCTCCGAAACCCCGGGCTGCCAAAGCGGAGCGTGAGCACTTAACCTCTGCGCCACCGAACTGGCCCCTTCATATAGTAGTTAAATATACTCTAAGCTAAGGAGGAAGGACAGCAATATAGAAGTTCCGCTCTGGTATGGAGGTTAGACCCTAAGAAGGCAGACTCTGGAACTGGACTCAATAACTACCTTTGCAGGTACTCGCTTTGTGACCTTAAGCAAGTTTTTTTTTTTTTTGGATTTCCACAATGCCTTTTTTTTAAATTGAGGTATGATTAACTTATAACATTATATTAGTTTCAGTGTACAACATAGTGATTTGATGTTTGTATATATTACAAAGTGATCACAATAAGTCTAGTTAACATCCATTACCATATGTTGTTTCAAATTTTTTTTTCTTGTGATAACTATAAGGTCTACTCTCTTAGCAACTTTCAAATATACAATACAGTATTAACTGTAGTCACCATGCTGTACATTACATCCCCATGACTCATTTATTTTATAACTGGATTGCTTTGGGTAGTATGGACTTTGTGTGTGTGTGTGTGTGTGTGTGTGTGTGTGTGTGTGTGTG